CCCCCCGTGCCTTCCTTGTCAGGGGAACACACATTCCATATACAGTTGACCCTTAAACAGCACGGGGTTAGGGGCCCTGACCTCCTTCACAGTTGAAAATCTACTTATAACTTTTGACTCCCCCAAAATGTAATTACTAATAGCCTATTGTTGAGCGGAGGCCTTACTGATGACAGTCGATTAACACATATTTTTATATGCTAATGTATTTTGTACTGTATTCTTGCAATAAAGTAAGCTGGAGAAAAGAAAATGTTATTAAGAAAATCATAAGAGAAATACATTTACAGTGTTTATTGAAAACCCCCACATTTGAGTGGACCCGCGCAGTTCAGAGCCGTGCTGGTCAGGGGTTGACTGTACTCCTGTATCCAACACATCTGGACACGTTTCCCCCTAAGTCTCATTTGGGTAAAATCAGTGGAGCAACATCAAAGGAAATGCCAGCAGGAGAAAAGTACCCCAATCTCGAGGTCCTGTCGCAATCCCTGGGTTCATTCTTCTGTCTTCCTCACAAATTTTGTGCAAAATGTGTATATATTTCGATCACACTAAACCAATAATTTTGGATGTCGATTCTTTTATTTAATAGTCCATCATTAATTTTTTCATATTGTCCCATTAATGGTTGATAACCATTAAACTACTTCTGTATCGAATAACTTAAAATACACACAGAGGTGTAGAGGCTTATAGTGCAGACCCTCATGGAGCCATAACCCAGATTCCAGCGTCAGCAAGACTGACCACACTTGCCCACCTGGCCTTTGTTTTTCCCTGAAGAATTTTAACGCAAAACCCCAAATATCATGTCATTCCATTCCACGCACTTCAGCATACCTCCAAAAATATTCAGCTTTCTTACGTTTCCACACGTATACAAAGTTAACAGTAACTCCTTGGTGTCATCTAAGACCCAGGTCACACTCAGATTTCCTGGTCGTTGCTGGAACATCTGTGTTCAGTTGTCTCTTTGACTCCAGATCTTCACCAGGGCCGTGAGCCACATTCGGCAGCTATGGTTCCTGGGTACATTAGGCTAGGATGGCTCTCCCTGCCAGGGACTTTGAAGAAACGGGTCAGCTGTCTTGCAGGAGGTCCCCCATTTTGGATTCTTCCTGATGTGACTTGACTCATCCCTTTGGTCCCTAAGCTTTCTGTAAGCTGGAAGTTAGCATTAAAGGCTTATTGAAAAGGGGCGTAACCTTGTTGGCAAGAACGCTTCATAAGTGGCTTTAGGTCACATCACACACAGTGACCGGTGGCCCCTCTCTTGGGGAGTGTGACAGTCTTACCCCATCAACTTTTTCTCTAATGCCTTTTTTTCCCTACTGATGAGTTTTCCTGAACCGAATATTCCATTCAGAATTGCAAAATGCCGATCAGCCTATGATGACATTCCTTCCAGAACTGATAACCATTTTTAATGGCTGGGTGACATTCTTGTTGAACTAAAGAGCACCCACTCAGAGTTTAGTGCAGAGGTTCCAAAATGGAAACCTGAAGTCAGATTAACTGACTGTACCAACTCTACCCTGTGTGAGCTCAGCCTGTTTCCCCCTCTGTAGACAGAGACAATAACAGAGCAGCCTCATGAAATTAGCTGTGAAATGAAATGAGACAACGTGTGTATATTGTAGGACAGTGCCCCACATATAGTAGGTCTTCATAACACTAATTAATAATTAAGAGCATAGGTTTGGGTTCAAATCCTGGCTCAGCCATTTATTCATTGACCTGAACCTTGCTTTCATTTCCTCAAAATGGCCCTATTGATAAGCAGGAGCTACCTCATTGCTGACGAGGTTAAATGAGATAAATGTGAAAAGGGCTTGGCCTAGAGCTTGGCACAGAATAAACTCTCAGTCAGTGTTGGCTAGTATGATAGTATTACTGCTGCTTATTAATCCACTATTGTTCAATAGATATTTTATTAGAAACACTGCCAAAAAAAAAAAAAAAGAGCAGCAGCTGGGGAGCAGGCCTGTCTCTTGCCCTCGCTCTTCCCAGCTGTGCAGTGGGAGGACAGTGCTCGCTGGTGTAAGTGCCCGAGTGACGAGGCCTCCGCTCTTCCCTCCCAGGACAGCCTGTACCACGGCACCACCGGCATCCTGTACATGAGCGCGGCTGTCCTGCAGGCCCACGCCACCATCGTCTCTGAGAGCCAGGACCTGAGCAACTACATGACAAACGCTGCAGCCACGGTGGGTGCCGGGCCTGACGGCCTTGGGGAGAGTCCCAAGGGGCTTGGTTCTGCCTCCTGCAGAACAGACCACTGAGCCCTCAGGCCGATGGAGTGCTGGAGGATGGGAGGAGGGGTGTGTGTGTGTGTGTGTGTGTGTGTGTGTGTGTGTGTGTGTGAACACATGTGCCCAAGCTCACAGTGTCCGAGGCCCACGTTCAGGTGTCACCTCTCATCTTGTTTTTCCCACCTCAGCCCTCTTACATCCACTTCACTGCCCTCAGGATATTTTTGTTTCCAAAACACGAATCGGGGGAGCACGCATCTCTCCTAGTGGAGGCTCTTCAGTGGCTCCCATTGCTGTGGAGTGGAGCCCAGATTCCTCAGCATGGCTGCACTATCCAGGCGTCCTTTTATTTCAGTGATGGGACCTAAGGCGAGGTGACCCAGCCAAGTGGTGGGACAAGCAGGACCCAAGGGACCAGACTTTCGGCCCCTTTGCCTCCCTTCCTAGTCTCTGCACAGTGGCCTCCTTTCTCCCTGTGGGGAATGGCGCCCTCATGGGGCAGGAAGCTCACAGCAGGCAGATTCCTTAACCCCACCTTGGAAACTTCCAAAGCAGGACTCCAGTGCCCAGGCTGGGTCCGAGTCAGCGTGGCGTCACTGTGGCCAGAAAAATTGAGTCTGTATCACTGGGGCCTTCCACAGGGATCAGGTGGCAAAGGGGTGCAGCGTGGGGTGCTGTTCCAGCATAAGAATGGAGTGCCAGGCAAGCACCATGGCCCACTAGGGTGGCACAAGTATTCAGCGGCCTTTCCAGCCTGTCCGCCTCTTTGTCCTTCTCACTGAGCTCTTCACCTTCCTTCAAATGCCACCCCGGCAACGGGCCCCGGCCCTTCGCCGCCTGGCCCAGCACCGCCGCTGCTCGCCCTGGGTCAGCTGCTGCAGCCACACAGGCCTCCCCCCTGCCCCTTGAATGCACACGACATGCTCTGGCCTCAGGGCCTTGGCAAGGACACTTGCTCCAGGAGGAAAGGAGTTTTTTTATTTTTATATATTTTTTAACCCTCACCCAAGGATTTTTTTCCCATTGATTTTTAGAAAGAGTGGAAGGGCCCTAGCGGGTTTGGCTCAGTGGTTAGAGCTGGTTCGGCTTGTGTACTGAAGGGTTCGGGTTCGATTCCGGCCAAGGACACGTATCTCGGTTGCAGGTTCAACCGTCAGCTTGCACACGGGAAGCAACCACTCCACGTGTGTCTCTCTCATGTCGATGTTTCTCTCTCTCTCTGAAAAGGCAAAGGGGAAAATATATCCTTAGATGAGTATTTGGAAAAAAAAAAACAAAGAGTGGAAGGGAGGGAGGAGGGGGAGAGAGAGGCAGAGAGAGAGAGAGAGAAACATCGGTGTGAGAGAGACACATCGATTGGTTGCTCCTGCATGGGCCCCAACCAGGGCTGGGGATTGAACCTGCAACCCAGGTACATGCCTTTGATGGGGAATCGAACCTGTGATCCTTCGGTCCTCGGGCCAATGCTCTAACCACTGAGCAAACCTGCCAGGGCAGGACAGGAGTTTTTGAATGTTCGCTCTTATGGCCACTGTTGTGTTTGAAGTACAGCAGGTGCCTAAAAGATATTTGTTGAGCCTTGGCTAGGTCGGTCGGTTAGAGCATCGTCCAGATATGCCAAGGTTGTGAGCTCGACCCCCAATGAGGGCACATACAAGAATCGACCAATGAATGCATAAATAAGTGAAACAATAAATCAGTGTTTCTCCCTCCAGCCTTTCCTCTTTCCCTTAAAAAATATTTTTTTAAAAAATGATATTTGTTGAGTGACTGAGTGAGTGAGAACCGAGCGTGAGTGGACAGCAGGACAAAGGCTTGCTCAGTCGGCCAGGCCTGGAAGGCGTGTTAAGGGCAAGGACCTCTGTCCTAAGAAGTGGGGGTCAGCCTACGGTTTTCATCGCATGCTGGTGAAACAAGGTCACGCTTTCTTCTCGGGCAGCGTGGGCAGAAACGGACACGTGGAGGCCATGAGAAGTCCTGGTGGGGGTTGACAGCATGAGACAGGAAAGGGGACCGGGCAGTGCAAGCAGATGACTTTTGACTTTGGCCACGGTGGGGAGGGGAGGGAGGAGTCGCGGGGGGCGGAGGTGGTGGTCACAGGTTTCTGGCTTGTGGAGCTGGACAGGAGGAGGGTCCTGAAGCTGACTGAGCTTGTCCAGCTTGTGGGGAAACCTCAGGAGCTCAGTCTGGACCAGTGACAGCTGAAGGGGCCTCTGAGACGTGCGTGAGGAGCTGACCGGTAGGCGCTCAAGAGTGGAGTCTGGGCTGGCGAGGGAAACTGGGCGAGTCGTCAGAGCACAGATGGTGACAGAGGATAGGGGAAAACAGGGTGACAAGACAGCACAAGAGGGCGGGCCCAGGTCAGGGAGGGAGATGAGCTGCTTGATGGCAGGTAGGGAAGCCCAAGTCTGCAAATGAGGCATGAGCAGGACACTGGGAGTGTGGCCTCAGAATATTTTTGTGGACAGCTCCAGGGAGCATGGAGCAGTTGGTCAGTGGCTGCTGTCCTCAGGTGGACTGGGGGCGCAGCAGGGCAGAGCACGTGGCCACCCGGGCATCAGGGCCCGAGGGCCCCTTGGAGGAGGGATGGGCGGTGGCCAGCACTGTCCATCTATAACGCAGCCTCTCTGGTCGCCTTCCAGTTTTTCGCCTTCATCACCACCCTGCTGTACATCCTCCACGCCTTCAGCATCTACTACCACTGAGGGACCTGGAACCCTGCCCTGCACGAAGTGCTCTTTAAACCCTGGGTCGTCGGCTCCCCAGGGTCTTCTTGGCATTTGCCATCTGCCTGATAAACCGATCAAGCGTTCCTGGAACAGCCCATCTTCTCAGACAGCGCTGAACTCACTCTCCACCCGTCCTCTTGGACATTTTAATTCATTCTGATGAATATGAAAAGGCTGTTAATTGTCTTTTGCCTGGGGGAGTAACGGGCCCTTGGGATTATCTGACAGCGAACCTAGCTCTTCCAGAAAACTAGTCTCCAAAGCCCTCGCCGTTGAGAATCCTGAACCTCCAGCATCACTGCTGGCTGGGGACACTGTCTCAGCAATCAGGGGACCCAGAGCAGCTGTGTGGGAACATTCAGTCTTAGTTTCTTAAAACCTAAACGATGCTATCTATGCCCCCACGTCTCTACTTAGACACAGACCCTCTCCCATTTGTGGTTCTGCTCTGATTTGCAGCAAAGACCGGCCTGCTCACTGCCACCCCCATTACATGTCCGCTTCCCTTTCCTCTCCAGCTTTCGGATCCAATTTAGAGGGTAGATTTGCAGGAAAATAAGTGATTGACCCCATAAAATTGTTATACAGTAAGACCTGGGTAGGGGAGTGGGCCTGTCAAGAAACTGCATGGCTGTGGGACACCTGTGTCAGGTGTCCAGGACCCACCCTGCAGGGATGAGAAGCCACCTTGTCCCTCACAAAAGACCTTCAAGGAAGGAGGCAGGATGTTACCTGTAAGGATTCTCCTCTGGGCTCCTGTCATACTGTGCGGCACATTTCAGGAGGCTGGGAAAGGACCCCGGTGCCAGGACATGCTCTTCCATGGGCACCCGCTCCCCTCGTGATCCCTGTGTGGTGCCCGTGGAGCGGAGCCTGTGCCATTCGCTGCCGCCTGCAGTGAGGGGCTCACACAGGCTGGGGACACAACGGCATTTGACTTCTGGACCATTCTCAACGAAAAGGCTGGCGTGCACACAGAAACATAAAACAAGGTGCTTGATTTCAGAGTAAAGGTTTTTCCTGAGAAACCTGTGCATCTGGGGTCTCTCCACTCTGTCCCCAGCTCCCAAAGGCTCTCCTGGCCTCCTGGGTCCGGCATAGCCTGTCCCTGCACGCACCTGCTGTCACTTTGAAATGAAATAAGTTATGACGTGGAGGGACTTGTCTTAGCTAATTCAGGGGCTCACAGTTGCTATCTTCTGTCTGCTCGGGGAGGGTGGGAGTGTTGGGGGGAGGGGGACAGAGAGTCACGGAAAAGAAAATTGGCTTCACTCTGCTTGACTGCTCACTTCCTAATTGCCCCGAGATCTTGAAAAACCACCGTTTAGCTCTCTTTCTTGCCTGGCAGCTGTCTGGGATGAGCACTGTCCAGTATTTACTGAGTAGCCACATCCAAATAAAAGGTGTTTTACAGTAAAACTACCAAGTGGGTCGCTTTGGTGATGTTAGAAGCTGGAACTGGCCCCCATTTTGTAGGTCCTGACAGCAGCTTCCACACAAGCCCCTTGGAGGTTTTTAAGGCCCAGCCCACTGGCCAGCCACGTGGGGAGGCCACATCTTAGGCTTGTGGCAGCATTTCCACTTCAGTACAGACAGCTCAGATACAAGTCCAAAAACCACTCACACAGCTGAGTCAAAGTTGGGGGCACACTGGCTGAGCCTAGGGGGTTAAAGGCGCTTCAGTGGGGAAAGCAGGCCCTTGGCCAGCCCTCTGCCTCATGTTCCTGCTCTTCTTCGTGGGGTGCTGTCCTCTCCCCCACCACCCTGCAGGCCCCTCATTCACTGTGCGGACACTGTGGACCCAGCCCTGAGCCATGCCCACCCCTTCACCTGCAGCTGACCCAGTTCCAAGCTCACCGCCACCTTCCTACCCTGGGGGTGGTCTCCTCTTTGTGTAGGGCCCTCCCCAGGCTCCCCACCCTAAGGCGCCCAGCAGGAGTGCACCCCATGGGCCAGGGCACAAGCTTTAGCTCATCCGCGCCCCAATTTCCCAAGGGGCTCCCGGTATCCTGCACCCAAGTCCTTGGCTCAGGGTGTTGGGTGACCTCAGACCAAGACATCCCACACCATGTCCTGAGCACCAAGCATGTGGTCGCAGAGGTGCACCAGTCACCCCTGCTAGACAAGCTGGTGGCAGGTAAGACTTGCGGCTTTGACCCAGACGGCCAGCAATTCCACTTTGGCCAATAACTGGGCTACAGTCTTTCAAAGAAAAGAAACAATAATAAAACATTAACATTTAAAAAAAAAACAACAGCCCTGGCTGGGTGGCTGGGTTGGAGCATCCTCCCGTGCACCGAAAAGGTTGTGGGTTCAATTCCTTATCAGGGCTTATATAGGACGCAACAGATCGATGTTTCTCTCTCACATCGACATTCCTCTCTCCCCCCTTTCCTCTCTCTAAAATCAATAAACATATCCTTGACTGTGATGATAAAAAAAGAAGAAAAAAGAAAAATGAACAACATACCTCTGGGGTTGGCCCCAGCAGGACTGGAAAAGTCCTAAGTGACGGAGTTGGTCACCCCCCACCCTGCCCCTGATCTGTCACTGGCCTTCGTGTTTGGAATCTGAAGTGGAGCCCGTCTCAGGGAAAGCTGGACCCTGGCCTTGGAGAACCACATGCAGGCTCTTGGGTCAACACGGTGGAAGGTATGGAGGCAGCACCGATCGGCCGATTTCCCCCCAAACCTGCAGAGCTGGATTCTCCCTCGGTTGGAACTGGTCCTTCCTGGGACACCAGAGGAATACCTGTCCCCGTGCTCCCACACACCTGTCCCTCCATCACCGTCCCCCAAGCTGTGTGTCTCGGCCAAGACTGGACAGTACCCAGCAGCAGTTCACAGCCGGGGAAGGGCGTGGCTTATCCAGGGTGACGCTGGACCACCCGGGCGGGCTTAGCTCCCAGGAACTCTTACTGACCTACTAGACCTTGTAGTTTGAACCAGGCTGTCAGCCCATCTCTGTCCCACGTGTGTATTTTATCACTGGACTTAGTGATAAGGCACCTGGGCTGACTCAAAGCTCACCTAGAAGCCTCTTTATTGTAACATAGCCACCAGGGCCGTCCAGGAAGCACGCTGGTTTCTGCCAGCCTTCCAGTGTCCCACCGACCTCCCATCCCTGCTCCAGAGCCTGTGGCTGATCCCCAGGGGGTGTGAGCAGCAGGCAGCCCCTGCCCATCTGCTGCGGAGCAGCTCTGCCCCACGCCCCATCTCCCCACGTCCCCGCCAGGCCCTGCTCCCCCGTCAGCTGCTCAGTGACGGCACATCCTCGCCTCCCAGAGGAAGCCACCCCAGTTTCACATCCAGACACCACGTGCTCAGGCCGTAGGTCAAGGCCCTGAACCTCACCCCCAGTGTTGCCCCACGTTTTCTTCCTTGCTTTGACCTTTAACCTGAGCAGTAGTTTTCAAAGCACGGGAAACAGAAAGTATGACCCAGTTTAGCAAAACGTGCAGAATGCCATGCTAGGAAGGTCAGCCAGCCCTGGCCACGCGCTCTTCCCCTTTCTGCCTTAGCTCCAGGTTGCTAAGTTAAGGTGGGTGACAGGCAGACCTTAACCCGTTGCTCCCGTGATCCTGCTATCAGTGAGGGGGGGCCTGATTCTGGGGTTTGCCCTGTGGAATCTACAACATGTAGATTGGGAAGACGGGAAGATGTCCAGATCTGCTGCACAGAACAGGGAGTGTATGTGGGGTGAGCCCCTTCAGCCCCATGTGTGTGCTCCCATGTTAACACGGAGACGTCAGGGGAGGCACCCAGCGCAGGAGAGGCGGGGCCCCTACAGCACAAGAGGTTTATTTGACAGGATAGGACATGACGGTGCTGAGGAAAGCAGAGCACAGCGCTCCTGGGGGTTTTCAGGAGAGCCTCCCTGCCTGGCCAAAGCCTCCTCCGTGTGCCCTAAAGCCAAGCTTCCTGGGTGTCACGGACCCACGGGGCGAGGGCATCCGCACTCTGATGTCATGGGCTCCGCTCACTCACGTAGAGACGGCTGTGCCCTGAGCAGGAGCCCCGGTGTCTGCTCTGTAACACTGTCCCCCTCACAGCTGTGCACTCCCCTTAGCACTCTCCTTGTCCACCGATGGTCACGTTGAGAACCAGGCTTCTGGGAGCCTAGGGAGTTGCTCTTGGCCTCCACACTGCTGTGTTCGGCTCCCACTGGGAGCAGTGTCTCAAATGAGGGTCCGCAATCTGTGCCCTGAGGCCCCTGCAGGCTGGACGGCCTGGGGGGGGGGGACTCACAGGGAGAGCAGGGTTGATGGGGGTGGAGAGGAAGGGGCTTCCTAGACCAGGACTGGGGGGAGGCCCCAGTGGGAGCGTTCAGGCGGTGGATTGTGCAGAGCGGCAGAGATGGGAAGGTGTCTGGGCCACAGCCTGGGCCTGAGTTCATCCGTCGTCAGCTGTTCCTACGGAATGGGCTCGAGATGGGAAAGACCTGTTAATCCCTCAGCAACCCCAAGGGGAGGCGCCGCTGTGTGCCTACAGCACCGTGAAGAGACCTAGGCTTCGGGGAGTTAAATACCTTGCCGCAGCTTCCAGGAGACAGAAGGGGACTGGGACTCCTGCTATGTGACCTGGGGCCGGTTCCCCGGGCCCCCTTTGTCCCTGCCCACAACAGCCACACCGTCCACTCCAGGAAGCCAGGAGCGAGGACTGGCCTGCCAGTGGGCATGTCCTCCAAGGCCTTGGAGCCTGAAGAGCTGCAGGGAGGCCCCAGCTCCCCCCAGTCAGTCAGTCCCGCCTTGGGCTCCACCATGGTCCCCAGGGACCAGAGCTCGGCCCACCTAGGTCGGTGCTGGCCGGGCGTGTTCTGCTGAGGAGTGATGGAACCCAGGTTACATTTCGGGGTCTTTGGCCAGGCTACGAAGCCTGAGCCCCCTGGCAGCCCCACAGTGAGTGTACACAGCGCTGTGCACACCCAGCTCCGGCACATCAGGGGCCTGAGGGCGAGAGGCCTTCCTCACCCTGGGCTTTGCAGTGGGGGAGACGAGATGATGGGGTCCTCTGTGATTTTCTTGAAGCCTAGGGCTTGACGCCACAATGCCATCATCAGCTCTGCCTCTCTTTTTCGTCTAATTGATGGAGGTGAATTTTTTGTTGTTGTTAAGCCTCACCCAATGATAATTTTTCCATTGGTTTTTAGAGAGTGGAAGAGGGGAGGGAAAGGGAGAGACAGAGAGAGAGAGAGACAACTCCCTGTCAGGGCTGGGGATCGAACTTGCAACCCAGGCATATGCCCTTGACCAGGAATCGAACCCATGACCCTTTGGTGTGCAGGCTGACGCTCTAACCACTGAGCAACACTGGCCAGGGCTAGAGATGAATTTTAAAGGAGACAGTCCGTGGGGGGGCAGGCCATGCAGTAGTCAGGGCTGCTCTGGGCAGGCACCAGATGTCTCAACTCTTATGAACAGCACTAGCCCCGCTTTATAGGTGAGGAGACAGGCTCAGGGACCAGGTGAGGGCCCAGCCTGCCCTCGTCACCATGCTGGCCACTGCAGCAACTGCCCATGGCTTTGGTTACCCAGGCTAGTGGCCAGGGGAAGAGCAGGCTCTGCATGGTGGGTCGGACATGGGTTACATCAGGCTCCACTGCTTCCCTGGTGTGTGGGCTTACAGCAGCCACTAGGCCCGCTGAGCATCAGTTTCTTTGTTTATAAGGATGGTTGTGAAGATCAGCGACTATGGGCAAACAGCCCTCAGCACTTCCACCTCTGTTCTCAGAAGGGCGGTGGGAGGTGGTTCCAGCCACCAACAGGAAACCTGGCAAACAGCTTCCTGCACCAATGGCCTCGGCCAGAAAACGTGGGCTGCAAGGGAGACCCCCAAATGCCAGCCAGCCCACAGGCGAGCTGTCTCTGGCCCTGGGACAGGCTGCAGGGCCTTACCCTTACAGATGCTCCCCCACTTCCTGGGTGCAGGGCCCTGTGGCTTAGGGGTCAGGTCCCTGGTGCCAACACCTTGGCCTCATGGTGGTCAGCGCTTAGACCTCCTTGGGTCGTAGGTCACAGTAGAGGGGACAATCCCCTCTTCTATAGCTTCCTCTTGTCAGGTTAAGTGAGGGTCCTTGACTTTGACTTCCCCAGCTGCCAGGACGGCCCAGGACTCAGCTTAGCCCTGCTGCTGTTTGAGTCCCGACAGAGGACAGCCCTTGGGCTGTTAGGGTTTGGCGCCCCCCAGTGGACGTCCCTAAGTACTCTCCAGGAAGACTTGAGGCTGGCTGGGTTTTTTGTGTAGGGGCCACATCAGACATCGGTGGTGGTGCAGAGCCAGGGCCCCTGAAATACACAGAACCAGGCAGTATGCACACCGAATCAGAGGGCAGGGAACACAGGCTCACCCAAAGCAGCTTATCCTCTAAGGAATTCAGTGCCATCTCTCATGTAATGAAAGGACCCAGGCGTGACACCTCAAGGT